CACACACACACACACACACACACACACACACACACACACACACACACACACACACACACACACACACAGTTTAAATCTCCGTCAGATGGACTGTTTCTTTCTTCTTCCCAACAAAATCCAACACTTTCACAGGAAACCATTTAAGGACAATGTTCCGTGTCCAAACGTCTGACGACTGAGTGTGACGGCATCATTCTAAACCAAAGGCACTGCAGCGCCAAACAGACTTAAAAAAAGATTTCAAATAAAGTGTGTGATGAGATTTGAATTACGACATTTCTGCGTGTATAATGCAATTCCCCATTTTCGAGCTTAAAAAGCATTAAAAACCTAAACTTGTATAATTCTATCCTAAATTTCGTACAGGCTTTTTCAGCCTTTTATATTTGTCAATAAAATGATCATATTGTGGTATCAGATTTAAAAAAAAAAAAAAAATTTAGCTTTGTGGCAGTGTCATATTAGGAAAAAAAAAGATTTAGAATGAGAGTATTTTCTAGTAGACAACTTCGCACAGTGTCATTCACACAAGATTTGCAAACGAAATAGGTTATTTTAGGGATACCTACTTTCACACAACACCGATAAAGCCTGGTTTATTTGTGTGCTCAATAGGACCAGCCAAGCTGCTCCTCCAAGCTGTCCATCTTGCTAATTTAACAACCAGCTTCTATGAGCGGACCATTATCAGCAAAATGACGTGCAGAAGATCGTGCTGCTGCGAGCCAAATGGTCTGCGAGTGTCTGCAGGAGGCAACAGACGGAAGCTACGCTATTTTCTGAAGCGACACATATCAGCCGGAAATGCAGTGGTGGGCACTGCTAACCAAAAAGTTACCTTCACTAACCTCTTATCTGCTAAACAAGAATCCTAGCTCCGCTAATGCTTAACAGCTAAAAAGAAAAAATAGTGGAAGCTAACGCTAACTGCTAAGACGACTGTATACTGTGTCACACAGGTTGAGACTGAAGCAAACCTGTTGTTATTTTTCTATTGGTTTAATCTGAGGAAGGGTGGGATCATCTGAGGCAAATTGGCTAATCCAAACCAGAGTTATTGCCCTATCTAACTTGTGATA